GATTAAATTTATGAACTTCATTCTGTAACGCTAAACCCTTAAGGTACTCAAAATGGCGGACATTCATTGTTAATAAAACGCAATCATTGGAAAATATTTATTCAGTAAATTTTTACAACAAAACATTCGTTATTATTTGTTTCATTGGAAAGCTAGATGTATGAAAAAAATAATTAACAACTTTAATTTAAAAATCGCAATTGCGCATCACCCAATAAAGGGCCAGTCAACCACGCAACAACTATGCGCAAGCAAGGACCAAATCAATACTCCTTATCTGAACCGCTTTTACAAAATGTAAATTTTCATGTAACTACACGAATGTTTTTTCTATAGCTTTCATCACAATTTAAGAAACATCAGCACATTATTTTTAAATTTCGCCATTGCCACATATGTTTAATTTTGATTTTTGCACTTAAAATTCCGCCTAACATTCAATTTACACAGGCACTATTCAAGTTTTTTATTTATTATTCTATTTAATAATCTTATTTACCTGATTTCCAACTCCAAAGATCGCGAGATTTCCGATTTATGTGTCGAAAACAATTATAAATGCAGAGCTGACGCGACACGATGCCGCTTCCTGTGCCAAGCGAGATCAATACATCATAACATTGCCCGGACGGTGTTCCCAGGTACTCCAAAGTTACCGCAACTTTTGCCATAAATCACATCGAGATTTTAGTCAAATAGTTGTATTACTTTTTATTGGTATGAAAGATAACTATTTTTTGTTACTATTTTTAAGCAAAGACAAACATTATAGGAAAAATATTAACAAAAAACCGGATTTTTCGAACCTGTTGCTGGGATGCCACCCTAAATATCCAGAAACTTTCCGCTTTAGGAAAATCGACTCTACGGTTTGTTATTAGGGTTTGGATTTCGTTTAATGTTTTTTGACGTTTACGGCTTTTACGAACGTGACGAAAAAGCCGTAATGAAGATAATAATATGAGAAATCGGCATTTGACGTAAATTTGCTGTAATTTTTTTTCTTCTCAAGAACGGCATAAATTAAAATACTGCAGCTTACCACCCCGATATATGTTTTTTGACGAGACATAATTTTTAAGTATTGAAGTAAAATTTTTGAATATTTTTAGTTTAAAAATTATAGATGTTATATTAGAGGTTTTGTTTGTGAAGATCTTGGAAAATAGCAATACGACTAAAATTTGTTTATGATTCATGCACTTACCACAGCTTAACGCCAGCAATGAAATGTCTAAACTTTGCTATAACCTTGAACGAAATGTCACTGTTTTGACATTGCAACTGTCAAACTAACTCTGTAACGGGATAGGTACTGTGATCTCGTGGGAGCAACACTAGATTTGAGATAAAACGGTATCTAGCGAAAATCTGTAGAACTAAAATTTTCCTGCGCTGAAAGCTTGCAAGGGGATGGTTGGGGTTGAATAATGCAACTGCATCGCAGTACCTCGTCGTTTCATGAGAGGGCGCTCTCTCAAACTTAAAGGGAATAAGGGATATACCAAATAAATATTATGTTCCATTTAAAAATTGTATCAGATATAATCTAAAAATCACTCACTTTTTATAAATCTCAATAGTCTCATTCACAATATTTAAGAACGTTATTAATTTGTCGTTACGGTGTATGTTATATGGCCGATTTAAGATAATATGTAGTACTAGAATTAAAATAGCCACTTCAAATCATCTGTACAAGCTTTCGGTCATAATTCACTTCAAACAATTGAGTGTACCAGGGATGGGTTTGTATCAGGGGCCACGGGTATAGGTTTTCAATTTAAAAAAAAACTCTAATTTACTTTATCCTATTTATTGCACAAGATTGTAAATTATTCATGCGTTTGTAATATATTTTAGTATATTGAATATTAAAACAGATAGATAGAGTGCATTCACATTATTTTATATGGTCTACTTTTAGGTAACTTAATTATTTTTACTCCTACCTACGCCGAAAGTTCGATTTTCCTCCCGCTGTACAGGGAAGAAAGTGTAACTTTTCCTCCTTGGGTACTGACAATTGCGCATGCGCGTTAATGTCTACGTCTGCTCTCACGCACCTAAAATTCTCCGCCATTGTTGTGCTCAGGTAATTTGCATCTGACCGAGATCTTGTAGCATAACATGATTGGCCCACTTTACGAGTACACATCGTACCTTACACGCGTTGATTTAAAATATTTGATCGTTCTTGTCACTAATTAAGGAAAAAAAATTATAAATATTGGTCAATAGTGAATATCGACTATGATTTTCTTGTCATGCATTATTTCTTACTTTCATCTATGTCCCTGTTTTCCATACAATGCAAAACACGTTTTCAATAAGAAATATCTAAAATCAATTTAACCTATAGAAGATATAGTTCAACTTTATTTCAATTTTATATTTGAATAGGGAAGAAACGATCACCGGCTTCTTCCAATCATATTACAAGTACTGTTGGAAATGTCACTTTCAATGTTTTCAGATTTCCTATTTTCTGTATCACAATTGTATTGATAATACATATATTACTCATGAATACACACAGTTCACTTAAAATGAGGTCCGACAAATTTATAACAGGGATGTGTAACGTTTTATTCCTTGACTGTTTGCTAATAGTCAGGTTATACGACGCACTTAAAAAACGATTTAGATTGGTTTTCTAAATTTATTATGTTGTTCTGTATTTGAAGACTTGGTGTTTTTTTATTATAAATCTAAAAGTAGTGTGTATTAAGTTGTGTAAAATGAAAAAAAAATTTGTGTTACATTCAAATAAAATGATAAAAAAAAATTATATCGCATTTTAGTTGAATATTTAGCCTCAATGCTTTTAATTTATCGCATTTTTTGGTTGGTTTTTATAAGTTTTAATTTTTCTAATTAGCTTTTTATTTATCACTTCATGGATGTTGGTAGAAAAGTTTATTAAGCAGTTTGATGAGCATTTCCTTTCTGGGTACCATAGTATTGTACTAATAGTACAATGGTCTCAAACAATGATTTTATTTTGTGTTAAGACGTAAAGCTGCTTATACACGACACGAGATTAAATTCAAGACTAATTACGACCGGGGCGCAAACTCAGAACCCGTGACATAGCAGTACAACCAGGTAACAACCTGGATTGAATATTTTAGGTAGTTAGGCAAGATGAAGCGGCTAGTGTTAATGTAAAGATTTGCCCATAGTAGATACATATATTGTTCATCTAAATTTGCATTACGTTGAATACTATGGCTTTGCTTTCTAGATTTACGTCATCATCTACTTCCAAAGATATAAGAATAATTTCAAAACATTCGGAATTGATCATAACAAACAGTACATATCCATAATTATAAAAGTGAATACATAACAGTGATATTAATGAACTTATATTACAAATAGTGAACGATTAGTGAAAATTTTACATGTTCTTCGTTCGTAAAACGAATCTTGTTTTTGTGAACCGTTTATTAGTTAGTATAATGTGTGCAAGAAATACATCGACATTTTAAAGCCTTTGAAAATGCTGAGTCGTTGGAAAAGCAAAGATAAGTCGGAAAAATCATCGAAGTCCGGCTCCGGGAAGAAAAAGAGAAAAGGTCGTGACAGCGGTAAGTGTTTTCCTTCAATTGTTTTTGATAACTTCGACGATTCATACAGAAAGAAACGTGTAAAAGTACATCGAATTAATCGATAATAAAACCTTGGCGCCCTGTGAGTTTCACCTACCTGGTTGTAGATGTTACGTGCCACTCAGAACAATAGTATTATTTTTCCAATACTTTGGAAATCGATACTACGCCTCTAAACGATTTAACCTCAATTAAACAAAGTGAAAGTCGAAGTCTGCATATTGGATTTTATTTTTATTGCACTAACAGAGTGATCGAGCTCTGATTTTCCTGGTACTCAATGGCTACTAGAGTCTATGAACTTCATAAAGGATTGTTGACATTCACCTTGAAACAGGAAATAGAAAGTTTTAAATTATTATATTGTCTGGTGGACATATATAAAAATGAAGCATCAGAATTTACGTGAAGTTAGGTAATTGTTTTGGGAGCTTTAAAGCGTCTGCAAAGCAATTCGGCCGATGGAAAGTGTCTGGGAGTATTGACGACTTATTTTTAAGGATATTGCCTAATATATACGTAAAAATCAGCTTTCAGAATTTACGTGAAGTTCGTAATAATTTTGTCATGGTCCAAACTTGATGCCCCATTATTGACTCCGAACGTCTGCCTTCGTGGACAGGGTGAACTGTGACCGAGGACATTTCGCCTTCTGTTTCACGAGGGAGTCCATAATGGAATGCCAACATTGTGACAGCAATGATCCAATATCCTAGCAGTCGAAGTCGTCGTGGCCTAAAGGATAAGACGTCCGGTGCATTCGTGTTGAGCGATGCATCGGTGTTTGAATCCCAGGAGGGTACCAATTTTTCTAATTAAATACGTACTTAACAAATGTTCACGATTGACTTCCACGGGGAAGGAATAAGATCGTGTACTAAAAATCAAACCCGCAATATTATAATTTGCGTAATTACTGGTGGTAGGACCTCTGGTGAGTCCGCGCGGGTAGGTACCACCACCCTGCCTATTTCTGCCGTAAAGCAGTAATGCGCTTCGGTTTGAAGGGTGGGGCAGCCGTTATAACTATAATGAGACCTTAGAACGTATATCTCAAGGTGGGTGGCGCATTTACGTGTTATATGTCTATGGGCTTCAGTAACCACTTAACACCAGGTGGGCTGTAAGCTCGTCCCCCAATCTAAGCAATAAAAAAAAAAGTCATCCCCAAGGGGACGGTATGACGCTCAGCTCAAAAAAAAAAGGTCCCCATGCTCACATGATTCCAAACCCATAAGAGATGAATTTGCGAAACAATGGCCTCAGGCTGATAGATTTCCTTTGAAAGCGGTCGTGCAGTTGTTAGTAAATCCAACCTGGCTGATCTCCAAAAATATCTCATTTTATCCTTCTCGTTTTCACTACAAGCTTTTTCCTTTGTTTCAGAAGATGACTGGCACGGAGATAGCTCTCGGATTGATGGTATGTGTTTTAATATTATAGTATTTACAGAGTTTGCTTACAGTGAACTACAGCTATTGCGACAGCATAATTGATTTAAACTTTTTGAAACAGAGAACTATTCTAAATTTAAGAATATTATTATGAATTGAATGCGTGCGTCATCGTCAAATTTTTTTTACTTTTAAAAATTAAATCTAAGTCTCTCCCGAACTATAAAAACTATACTTTTTGGAATAATAATATTTTTCCATCTTGTTCAGAGCTCAAAGAACGATTATAAAATACTAACTTACACAGTTAGTTATTTGCTTTTTCGTGAAGCTCCGAAATACGATTAGTGTCAAGTAGTTTAGGGGTTTTGACTTTCACTTCGTTCGCGTTTATAAGTAATTATTTTTATAATTAAGCGATCAATAATTATATCATAAGGGTCAATCATAATAATTTCGAATCGGTGCCGAATATGTCATAAGCCGCGCTTGTCCTACTTAACAAGAACTTAGAATCCTCCTGGGTATATCTTAATTACTAGGTCATAAAAGAAAATTTGCAAGTATAAAATTATATTCCAAAACTTTAATATTAATTTAGCAATAACGATGGTTTCTTAGTTTTTCTCTATTATATTTTAATTCAATTATGCATTTGGGCATCTTTTATCGTAGCGTTATTATGTATGTACGTATTATATCCACCAGTGGACATAAGCTTCTCCCAATTTACACCACTGAGCCCGGTGTTCGACTTCGCGCATCCATTTCTCACCCTCCACCGGCCGTTGGCCAGTTCACCGTCTCCACTGGTGGTAGGACCTCTTGTGAGTCCGCGCGGATAGGTACCACCACCCGCCTGTTTCTGCCGTGAAGCAGTAATTCGTTTCGGTTTGAAGGGTGGGGCAGCCGTTGTAACTATACTGAGACCTTAGAACTTATATCTCAATGTGAGTGGCGCATTTACGTTGTGGATGTCTATGGGCTCCACTAACCACTTAACACCAGGTGGGCTGTGAGCTCCTTGAGATATAAGTTCTAAGGTCTCAGAGTAGTACCTACCCGCGCGGACTCACAATAGGTCCTACCACCAGTAACAAGAATGTTTTTTGGATATATTTTACGAAATAATGAACATTTTAGTAGCGCTAACGCAAGCTATAATTTTCCTCTAACTGGCCCCATCTAGGCTGGCTTCAGATAGCCTGCTTACCGAGAGGACCGGTGTGCGTGGCGCCGACGTCCACCGATCCGGTATCCCGAGGCGAAGGGTGAAGGGAGAGATGTGCTCCGCACTAAGCACTTTCCTTTCCCTCCTTTGCCTTTGCCATGAGTTTTGTCGTATGTGAGGTTCAGACGTGGGTTGTTGAGCGACAGGTGGATTTAGTCAGTTAGACTCCGACATTCCCCGTCCTTCATCCCTAGTGGAAGGCGAAAGTCAGCCCCTTTCCTCCTGATCAAAAAAAAAGCTATAATCTTCAGTTAGTAAACATTGAGAATAATCGAGGATCATGCTAATGGTAACATGTTTGTTTTAAAAAATTTAATTGCAATAATATACTTCAACAATTAAGTTTCTGAAGACAAACGATGTAGTTATATTATTGTCTCCATTTGTAAAGTAGTCAGTAATAGTACCCAGAAATATCTTGGCGGATTTGTGATCACTCGCAAGTAATGGGACAGTTCAAATATAATTTCATTTTGACTCCCGAGGGTCTTATGTAATTAGGATTCAGTCATCGATGGATTAACTCTATCCCTGTGGTATGGAATGGCGTATTATAGAATTATCTTAAGAGCGCATTGTTGCTGAACGGAAATTAATTAATTCAATTCATCCTATAATTGTTCGAGAGAAATAGTTTCAGAATACGAGTATATATTTCTAAAGAGACACAAAATCGATAGCCGATATTAACAAAGCGCAAATTTACAGTATATGAATTCGAAATACATTTTAAATTCCAGTTACCAAGTAATATTTCAAAAAGCTGTAAAATCTGAAACGTCTCTTCGCAAATGCTGTTACAATTTTGCCTTTGTGCACTCACTGAGTGTGAAGCTTTGTTCAAAAGTTGGCCGTTGTCAGCCATATGCCAAAGCAACTCTTTGTTCCTTTGAACCCTTTTTATCAATTAATATGTCTTCAATGAAATTTTAAATAATTGTTCTGACCTAGATCAAAGGATTTTTATGAAATGTTCTCAGTTCTGACGAATAATATAGTAGTCTGTGTAAAAATCATTCGCAAATGTTTGATTTTAGACGCTCGTCAAATTTATCTAATTTTTTAAAATTCTTGACAACTAATTTATATTCATGGGTACGTGTGTACGTGGGTACGTGGAACTGCTCTTTAAAGTACATTTGAAAGAGTGATCGTTAACCAATATCTGACAAAAGCCTTGATACTTAGAACAACCTTATTTGTACGTCTAGAAAGTAATTTTTGTATTCACTAAGTCTATACTGAAACTCGTTTTGATAAATTATTTATTTGTAGTGATCACATACTGACTTGAACTATTAAGGAATAAAGCTTAGTAAGAAAATATTACCCAACAAAACTCGTAATTCTGACGGCGACTTTTACGCTTACACGTCTTGGAAATATTGGCTTATTTTAGTCACAAATCTGCATAACACACGTTTGTAACAACAACAACGTTTTGTGTTAGAGTGGAACCGTGTTGTAAAACCCGGTCATCGTTCTCGTCGAACCCGTCGCTTGCGACAAAGGGCTCGGCGAGTAAATTAACCCACAGACACAGCCCACTGAGTTTCTCGCCGGATATTCTCAGTGGGTCGCGTTTCCGATCCGGTGGTAGAATCTGCGAAGCACGGCTCTTGCTAGGGCTAGTGTTAGCAACGTCGTCAGGTTTGAGCCCCGTGAGCTCACCTTCGCTTCGGAAACCGCATAACATCCGGTAAGCCAGAGCTGTCAACGCCAAAAACAACAACGTGTAGGTTAAATATACAATAGATGATATTTATTAATTAATACGCTTTTATTAGCTTCATACGTATGTTAGTATGTAACGGAATCTTTGAACATGATTTTGATCTCCTTCAAAAGATCGGATTAACTCGGAATTTGGCATACTTATTGAGGACCGATAACAATTCAATATTTTAAGCAATTTGATCCGTTATCCTTACTAGGATAATCAGGATTAGCGATTTTTTGTTTCCTGAGACCCGGAGTGTCTGTCAAGACCAAGAAGGGAAACTACCAGGCGCGCCAATCACCTATTTCCACACCACCATACCAAGATGAAATTTGACAAAATTGAAAAAAAAAAAAAAAACAACTAATAACTAAAAAAAAAAATTTTTTAAAAAAACAAATAAAAACATTTTTATAGAAAATCCAACTAAAAAATAGAAAATAAATTTGAATTAAAAATAGTGTAAGAAAAAATGTTTTTATTTTAAAATAAGGGTAGGTTGCATGGTATTAATAATATCCTGAAAAGCACCTCACGCTTTTTTTTACAATAAAATCATTTTTTCTTACGTTCTTTTTAATTCAAATTTATTAAAATTTATTTTCTATTGTTACTTGGATTTTCTATAAAAGCGTATTTTTTTTGTTTTTTTAAACTATTATTTATTTAAGCTGTAACATGTTAGAGTGGATGACAGTAGCAACTGCGCAGATATAAAGAAATTAGAAAACGACTTATAAAACAGATTGTAAGTTACTTATCAAGATCCCTGTACTGCGGGGCCTGCGTGGTGCCGTCTCATACTACCTAAAGGGCTCTGCAAATATTCCTTCACACTCCGACCCATTAAAATATTTTGTATCTCATACGCATATCTGAATACAGCTCGTATTAGTTTTGTAGAATTAGGAGCCTGTAGACATCTCTGTTCAGAATTAAATTCATTGCCCTAGAGGTCCGTTTTTGTACCTATCACTACATAGTATAAAACAAAGTCGCTTTCTCTGTCCCTATATCTGTCCCTATGTATGCTTAAATCTTTAAAACTACGCAACGGATTTTGATGCGGTTTTAATAGATAGAATGATTGAAGAGGAAGGTTTGTATGTACAATAACATCCATTAAATATTGGATAAATCAATAATAAATTACAGTTTCCGAAGCGAAACGAGGGCGGGTCGCTAATTAGACTATAAAGCTCTTTGCGGAGTATCCACTTATATCAGAGAGGCGCCACTCTTTTTTCTTTGTATAGCAGGCATTAGCATTTATCATACAGTATATATTCGCATATAGCATTAATGGTAGAACATTTTAGTTGAGGCTTAATCCTTTAAACAAATGTGTTCAGCGCTTTATGTCCGTCGTCTTAGTATTAATTAACTTTAAGCATTTTAGTAACATAGTATAACCAAGATTAAAATATAGTGAGTGAATTTCAAATCGGAGACTTCCTCTTGACGGACCGAGCAAATAAACTAGAACGCTCCGGATCCATAGTTCAGACTAATCGAACTTGCCCCGGGACGCAATTGTGTAAAGTTCCTCAGATTTCCAATCAAATCAGTTGAACGTCTCCGCCGTGGTTTTAATTAATTTAGAAAACCTTACGTATAATTCAGTCAGAGCATAGTAATAAATAGTTTGATTCCCAAAGGTAAACAATTACGGAAACACAATAAATAAAGGCCAATGAAGGAGCTATCCTATTGAATAAATTAATATTTAAAAGTTAATGAATCTCGCAAACATTTTCCGTTTAATTTTTTCGTAGCTATGTCTTCTACCTGTACAATAACTAATGGGTTTGTTTATTCATCGAGAAAAAAATATCAGCTCAAAACAGCTAGAAACTAGTTTCTTTATGTCTACAAAATTGTCCTTTTAATATGGTCTTATTTAGAGCCGTTAAACATTTGTTAGTGCCGGTGTAGGTACAATAGACTTAAATTAACTTGTAGCGCCTCGATATTACAAAGTTCAACTAATTTTATAAGACCTTAAAAGATATCCTGACAGTAAACTGCGTCGGCAACAAAGTAATAGAGCTAGGTATTTTACTTAGCACAGAAATTG